GAATCTGACAAGAAAATCGCTGATTACCTGAAGTCGCTGACTTTTTTTCTGTATGGGAAAACTTGATCCCAGCAGTATCGGTCAGAAGCTTAAACTGGTTGAAATTTTGCGCATTTTGGTTTGGTACCTACGCAAAGCTGTGTTTCAGCCCACAGTACATTCAGGCACATTCGTAGAGTATCACCAACTACCAAACATAAATGTTATACAGTTGTTGGAAAGAAGGTAGAATTGTTCGGATGCTCTTAACAATTGCACTAGAGGATCCACTCAGTGCTGCCTTCATCCTTGGCTAAGTAAAGGTCTCCAATGAAGTTTTTATGCCTGTACGCAATGGTAAATGTCTGACAGGCGCCTGCTCAAGGGTCCATTCTACGATGAAACGCCTAATCCTGTTCATACAAGACGGATAGAAGCAACGATGTAAGGACCCAATACGTATCTATCTCAATCCCCTGAAGGTCAACCAACAAATGTGGGGAGGTCTTGCACAGGGTTGTCAGGTTTAGTGTATTGTTTTCAAAACTAGAACAACAATCTTTGAGATTTAGACTAAGCGCCAAGAACACAAGCCAAATCCTGCAACAACTAACCCCTACCACGACGCCCGAGTTCTTGATTAATGCTTAGGATAAGAATGAATCTCCGAGTTCATCTCAGGGTCAGCATGGTCAATTCACATCCTCCAATTGAACAAAACACCGCAACAGTGTCGACACTGGAGAGATATTTCCTACAGCAACACGGCATTCCAGTCCCGATTCGCCTTGGCCAGACATATTCCTAATAACCACAACAGAAATGCCAGCGGGCACTTTAAAAACGATATGCCGCCATGCCTTCGGACCGTCCCGCATTCGAATCTCATATTGGCCTGGTCTGTCAAATTCGAATTTATTGCACTGAGAGTGCAGAAGCAGTGACCAAATGGCGTCATGGCATAGCTTGGCCACCGATGGGAGTGTATAAGCCCTAGTCGACGATAAATGGCCAAGATGTGCCCGAGGTAGTCAAATGCCCCTGAAACAACCACCTTACTCTGCCGTTTCTGTATCGAACAGATTTGCCTGCACGTTAACGTGCATATCTATATGTCGGCGACTGTGCTGAGGTTCGCTGCGGAGCTGTGTGAACTAAAGACGTTGGGTTCAGTTCATCGTAGACCAGTGTATGTTAATACTCTGCAGTACTCGTTGTGCGCGTTCTAGTCTTTAGGTTTAGCCATCAGTTAGTACGCTTTACGTCCCTCAGCAATCTCTCAACGCGCTTTAACCTTTGCTCTTATGTCACACGAAACCAATCTGAAATGGTAAATGGGGTGTATTATTTATGTAATTATGCTTACCTGCCACCGTTCTTCTTCACACCGCCCAAGTTTCGCCCTTTCAGGTACTTTCTGAAGTTCTTCATGAAATGCAACCAGAACTGTCTGAAAAATGCTGGAAATCCCCGCGATATGCGTCGCTTCCAGGTAAGCGATGTCCACTGTTTCCGATGTGAACATAGTTTACGCTATTCTGAGAACAGCCTCCCTTCAGTAAAACTTTTTATAAGTGGCGGAGACAAGTGAGACTAGAATTATCGTAGCCAAACAGAAATACCCCAATCTGAGCTGGGAAGGCTAGGGTTCGTTGTTCACGGACTATCGTTTAAAAACCTCCACGCGTTATGCGTAGTCTAGTATACTTTTGTCCGTGGAAAGGGTCGAACTTTTGGTCTTCTAGCCTGGAGTGGTTGTATGGTTGAATGAACAACACCAAATAAACCAGAAATGGCGACCCTAGTTCTTCTCTGTCGGTACTACGCGTACCGTCAGGTCGTAAAGTGACGAATAATGAACGGTGTAAATTCTGCAGCTCTGTTCGTGTTAAACACACTGCGGTAATCTCCTGCTACTGGAGAATATAAAGGCATTCAATCAAGGCTAATCTAGATAATATTTATAATTTTAACTGCAAACCCAGGACGAAACTCCCTCAAGGTTTGGAAGTTATGTTCCTTTTTCATGATACCTGGATAAATAAAGGTTGGGGTGCTCAAAATTGGTTGACCACCACAGATAACACCCTCGATTTTTTTCCATATGAGGCCTTGGCATCAGAAACAAAGACCATATTCACAAACGATATTCTTTAAGGATTTAAAGAAGAACCGTAGGAGTTCATGCCATACTTACCTATTCTGAGAAGTATGGCGTCATTGATGAGAGTTTGAAAATATTTCTGGTAATACAAAACAAGTAATAAGAAACGTTTGTTTGATATACTCCATCAGTCAACAACAACTTTTTCCAGTGTTTACGATGGGAGATGGTTACCTTAGCGCACTAACTGTCCATGGCTCGGCTTCAGTCCAATACTACGAGCATGTGAGATTGTGAACACTTATCACGGGCTGCCGGGTTTATTCTTCTACGTCATAGGAGAGGCAGAAGAAGAAGAAGTGAGCAGACCGAAAGGCTATACTCCGAAAGTTCGTAGCCATAAATTAGCAAGATCGAAATATGAATATTTAGCCATCAAACATGATAAGTTTTGAGCACCTGCAGACATGACGACGCGCGGAACCACTAAACTTTGAGAGTTTTCGGACTTACCCTGTTTAGAGTGTTTAGTCCGAACATGCATAATAATTTAAAATCATAAAAGATATGCTTCATCTTCAGTCAGGCCACATCCGTGCTCTGTTGTACCCTGTTTTGGGTATTTGGTTCGAAGAATTTCTGCAAGGCTTTTTGACTAAGTACCCGTAGTTTTTTCACACATTATCCGGTATCATACTAATGAATCGTATACAAATAATTAACGTTATCGTATGTTGTGGCAAGATGGTAAGGATGGCTTTGTTCCTATTCCACTGTCTTGCTGGGTATCCTTCTCCGATTTGGACTTTTAACCAGGATAATATCGCCTACCCAAAGCACATACCAGGCTGCCTTTCATCGTTTTCATTGCACTTCTAAGAAAACCAATCAAGTATGTCGAAGATAGGTCTTGGTTGGCAGCATTTTGGCGTAGTCGACGTCGCCGTGACTAATGAGCTAAGTACGGCATTTTATTTTCCACAATTTCACATAAATCTCAGCAGAGTTCCTCAGTAGAAAAACTGCACAGGCAGTCTCCTGGCTCTCAGACTATGACTAAAAAAGTATTAAACGCCTAAAAAAAGTCTTAGCTTTTGAATTGATTGGCCAGTAAAAAAACCATTTATGGCATTTTGCATCTCACCGCTTCAGGTCGCCGTTGCTTCTGCACCATCTCTGGATGGCAATCTGTTGGCCTTTTCAGACAACATGTTCGTGCACAACAACTCCAAACACGGACGCCGCGTTCGCCGACTGGAGCCCTCCGACAACAGTAAGTCACTCCCCCGTTTTCGACCAGCAAAAATCCTACTCATAAGGGGG